GGGATAATCTTTAATAAAGATACTCTTCCCTCTAGGGAAAGGGTATAAGTACTTAATGTAATTTTTTTATATGGGTTTTTATAAAAATGTTTCGCGGGCCGGTTGTTGCCCATATATGACTTACAGTTTTTTCCTTTCGCGTAATTTTCAATTTTAAGTAAAGATATCATAAACAATTTTTAATAGGTATAATAAAATACTAATGTAATGTATATATGTGTGTCTTCAGTAAGCGATTAAATTTTATATTTTATACAATGTATAAATATACCTATTCCTTGATATTGCACGGCTATCAGTTAAATTAGTAACAAGATAAAAAATGTGCCTGATTGTAATTGTATTTGGTTTTGATGCAACTCGTAAAAATCACAGGATTTAAACGCATTACATAACATTTTAAATCATATCATGTAAATCATGTAAATATTATAAATGCGAAAGTTACGATGGATGGATGGATGTTTGTTAGCGTTTGTAGCTTAAACGGCTGAACGGATCTCCATGAAATTTGGCACAGGTTTAGAGCATAGTCTGGAAGAACACATAGGCTACTTTTTATCCCGGTAATAGTTACGGTACCCGTAGGATTCATTAATTTAGTTTTTAAACGTTTACTCGATAATTTTGCAACGGTTCAACATATCTTATTGAAATTTGCCACAAATATAAAACAAAGTCTAGAGTACACATGGGATAAGGTTCATTCTCGAGAAATGTCCGGTTCCCAAGGGACACGTAGCTTTTTGTTATTTGTAGTTCGTATGTTTTCTAATACCACGCGAACGTAGTCGAGGGCAACAGCTAGTATCGGATAAATGCGTTAACTTAACTTCTGTATGCAAAACTTTAAATGTCAGTTAAACTGCATATAGTTCTGAGTTTTAACTGATTATTTATTTTAATACAATGCATATAAAACTGAGAACAACAACGCAGAGCCCAGAGCGAGCTGGCGGCATACTGTGGACGCCCTTTGCCCCACTTTGGGGACATAGGAATAGAAGAAAAAGAATATAAAACTGAATCTGTACATTCAAATAAAAAACAAAACTTAAATGACATATGAATAGAACAAACTATTCAGTTAAATTGTCAGAATTGAATGTCTGCAGCGGGCTTAAAATATCGTCTTGAATGAGAATAATAATAGTTCCCGACACTTAAAATGTAGTAGCTAATAAATAGATGAAACCAGATGATTTAGTTAATACAATTGAGTGTCATTAGTTCTAACGGATACTCAATTAAGTTTTGTTTCTTTTTATAGTTTTTATAGTGATTAGTGCTGTATACGGTACATCAATAAGTTCGAAGGCCTTGTCTGTATCTAATTGTTAGACTGCACTAACATTGTAGTTTACCTTCAAAGTATTTTATACTAGCCAGTTACTTTATTTCTATAGATTCAAAAAAAAAAAGTAAAAAATCGATCTTCTCCATAAAGTAGATTAATTTTAAAAATTCCGACAAGAACTTTAGCCTCTATTTGCCATATATTATTGTAATTAAACTGTAAATAAGATAAACATTACAAATAACATTTACACGCAAACCCGAGGCAAAATAATTCAAATCTACCTTGAACGCGAGCTAATATAATCGGGTAGGCACAGACTATACCAAATTTAAAAACGCATACTTACTGAAATATCTCAACGACCGTCTCCATCATCTATACGGCATTGACGTGATAAAATCAGTATATAAATACACACAACCACACTCAACAGCGTCTCAGATGCGACTGACGGACACGTGATTCATATCTATGTCGTTTTAGATAACGTACTTACAAAGTTTTTTTTCAATTACACATTTCTTACAGTTCATATGCCTACAAAGTGAATGAAACTCGGACTCGGACAAAGAATAAAGTTATTTTCCATAAAGGAAGCAACATTAACAAAGGATTTAGATTAAAAATGTTACTCATCATAATACCTATCATTTTTATCCTTGATGGTAGACGGTTTCCTTCCTCTTTTTCTCAGGGTAAAACTATACAGTTGAGGAACTATCTCTTTCATGGAATACATTGAAAACTGTATCGGAGACCTAATTTTATTCTAATTCTCCTACCCATCTTTATCTTATAAGAATAGGATGGAAAGGAAGTAGGAACACATAGGAAGGGAATGTGTCGTCTCTCTGTGTATCCTCTCTGTTGTTTTATTGCTCGTGTGCCACCTTATGGTATAAAAAATACTGAAAATGACAACAAAGTAGCCGATGTACGTTTTCAACCTTTGATCTAGGGGCGAAAAAACAAAACTAAGATTTTGTCAGTTTCCAATCGGCGGAGAATTTTATTTAGCCAATTCATGTTTAATCTTTGATACCTGATTATTTTAAGTATCATCATAGATTAAAAATTAATAATAGATGAAAACGGGTCATACTTAACCTACAAATGAAATTCCAACAGGTTTTTACGGCGGCTGTTCAAATAAAGGGCAACTTCTTGTCCACGTTCGTGAAATTCCTCGAACTTTTTTAGTGTTGAATTGTATGAATCCCACTTTGTTTTTTTCGTTTTCATGTATTGTTGAGAACTCGATGAGTGAAAGATTTTTTTTTTAATTTACAAATCGTGTTTTAGTATTATCTTGTCCGATAGTCCGCCCATTGTTTTAAAATTAAATAAGTTAACGACTTATTATCGGGCAAATGTAGTCGCAATTGTAAATTGCAATACACAAGTGCAATGTAGATTACATCTCAAAATTATTTATAACTTGGAACAAAGGAAAAAGATACATACACTAAATATGTTTCAATTGTTAAAAGACCTGTACAAAAAAAAAACAAGTGATCTCTCTTTCATTCCCAAATGGACGAGAGAGACAGCAACATATTTTTGGAAAAGTGTTGGCGATGGATATTCATAGACTGCGACACAGAATCAAAGGCGCCAAAACGTTCCTTTTTTGAATACCTATACTTTTTAAAAAGGTGATAAGCGAGCAAACGGATTTTAGAATCGAATCGCAGAGACCACGCCCTTTTAATATGCAGATACGTGCATGCATTGCCACCTTTAATTAACATAGGACACATTGAATGAGTTTATTTCCTCTACCTAGCGTACCATAACACGGCAAATCAGCTACTCTTAAAAAATAGGCATTGGGTTTACTAATTACACCAAAGTACTATGTTTGGCTAATTTCTAGTGAATAATTAAAGGTTCATTCTTTTTGCCTTTTAAAAAGAGAAAAGGACATTTTCTCACTCTCTCTCTCTCTTTAGCTACCCATTAGGACAGTGATCTGCAAATTGACTGTTCAAGGCCAAATAAGAACATTACTTTTAAATAAATTGGAAGCCAAGTTGCATGTTTAGAAAAATTTTATTACACTAAATAAAAACACTTAGTAAAACTAAATTTCATACTTAATAAATATTTATTAATACAAACATGCTTGCATCTCCTTGGAAAATTTGAGTAAATCAGAGCACAATTTGCCGACCACTGCATTATCTGACAGCTTATTTTAAAAGGTATTATAAAAAATAGATATTTCTGTAAAATAAAATATATTAAAAATAAACTTCAGTCATTATCACTTTCCACAATATCTTTGTATTGTCTAATTCGCTTTTCCGTTTCAACAATACTGTCTTTGAGGTCTTTGTGGATTTCACCATATGCTTTAACCGACTGGTTTGTTTCTGTGAATATATTTTGCAATATTTGCAAATTGAGAATCCTGAAACAAAGATATAATAATAATGTAAAACCTATTTTTTATTTATAAAAATACCTGTAGAAATTCTCAATAAGAAGTAGCAGACCGATTATAACATTACTAGGTTTCACCCACAGCTCCCTCGTCATGGTTAAAAAAACAAAAGTAAATAGTCTATGTGTTCTTCCAGACTATCATCTACATCTATACCAAGTTTAATTGAAATCCATTCAGCCTTTTAGGCTGCAATTTCTAAAAAATATCTATACATCTAAACTTTTGCATTTATGATTCTCATATCTTTAATTTCTTATTTTGATATATAATACATTTTACATGATTTTTTATTAAAAAAAAATAAATAATAGAGCATATTATATAAAAAAAAACATATCGACGAATTGAGTACCTCCTTCTTTTGGGAAGTCGGTCAAAAATAGAAGCATTTATAATATTAGTAAGATTTAAATATTGCAGGTAATACTGTAATATTCTTAAATAATGTTGGCTATGTGTAATATTTTTTATATAATTAAAAAAAATGGCTAATAATACCCTCATGCAACTCCAGGACAAGCTGCTAGTCTATTAAAAAATGGAATAAACTATCTGTCTTAAAATAAAAAATATATATCTGCTTTTATATCTTAGCAAATTTGACTGATATAAAAAAATTGTAAAAAGTAGAGATAAATGTCCCACTTACTGTGATTTAAGATCAATAATTTTTGTTTTCAATGTTAGAAGTTCACTTGAGTTTTCACTAAACTTCAGCACATCTTGCAGTCTATGGTTGATCCAGTCCATCATCAAATCCGTCTTATCATTCTCCTGTTCTTCTAATATACTTAGTTTATTATTTATACTCTCACGTAGTTCCTTAATTTGATTTTTATTATTTGCTTGAACATCCCTACGTTGTTTCAAATGTCCTAACTCTGCTATTAATGTCGGTAACTTGCTTTGTATTTTTTGAATAATAGCTTGATTCAATTCTGACTGCTCATCAAATGACAGTTCAGATGCTGTCTGATGCAATATTCCTGGAAAAAGCAAAGAATAATTATAAAAGAGAGTGTTTATAACAGAACTAAATTATTCTTAATGCCCATGTAAAAAATACAGATTACTTAACAATACAAGCTTTGTTTAATACTCGGTTTTAAGAAATAAAAAACTTACCTAAAACAGTTGATGTGCTCTCATCAGCCGTACTTAATTTATGAAGACTTCCATAATGTACTAATTCATTGTCTTCTATTATACATGTTACCTTTTTTATAATCTTACTTGAAAGAGAACTTTTATCTGAGCATAATCCTTTAATAATATCCATGAGTATAAAATCTTGTTTTGTTTTAGAGTCGACACTTGCTATTTCTCGGTTGATAATGGTATCCATTTCGAGATAAAATAAATATATGGAATTTTATACCTGTAGGTAAAGTAAATTCGAGTAAAGTAAGGTAAATTTAGTTAAAATTAATAAACCTTGTCACCATTTTATAGTCGAAATTCAAATTTCAAAATAACAACTTAAGAATGACAGTGACAGTGATGGTCACAGATCATAAATTCAAAAAAATGAAATTATGATAAACGAGAGAAAGAATTAAATCGCAAAAAATGCCTTGGACAAAGTATTTAAATCTTGAAAACACGGTTTTCCAAATTGAGTTGTAAAGTTGTAAAAAGATTGTCTCTTTCGCACTTATGTCAAAAGGTTTGAACTGAAAGAGACGTAAGAGTAAAGTGTCAAAAATTGCTTGATTTTTAAATGTCAAGCTATAAAACACCTTGCTTTACTTGTCAGTTCGATATCACATTGTATTTGTATTGTACAGTTATTTTTAATGTAATAATCAAACCAATGCAATTATTTATTAAATTGTGGTGTAAGACATTTTACTGAATTAAAAAATGCAAAATGTCGTTGTCAGATGGAATACGAAAGTCAATCGACATGGATAATTCACAAAATTCGGAATCTCATAAAGCGGGAGAGAATGGCGAAAAGAGTAAAAACAAAAGCGCGGGAGACCCACAACAAAGCACCTGTTACTGGTACGATATTTTATTTTCTAAATAAAAAAATTAATAGTGTTCAAAACCAGTTAACGAAAATATGTTGGTATCTAAAAAACCGCTGATATTTATCTTTTGTTTAAAACGTTCCGGTTCACATCTTATATTATTATTTGGAATAAAATTGTTATTCTTGTGATTATTTCAGTGGCAAAGAAAGGAATTTGAATATAGTGGAGCTGTTATGTGCATCCTGTAACAGATGGTTCCATGAGTCCTGCATTGGATATCAGTTAGGGAAGCTTGTTCCATTCATGACAAACTACCTTTTCATCTGCAAGAACTGTTCACCAACAGGATTGGAGACTTTTAAGAAGAATCAGGCCCGTGAGTATGCATTGTAAAACCTTTTTGTTAAGTCAATATTGAAAACTGTAGAAAATTACTGTAACTCATACATTCTCTACAATATCTAATGTATTTATATCTTTCATGTTTCCACTTTATATTACTTAGTTGTCCTATGCCATACTTGTAGCATAGGTTTTTTTAACTATGGCAAACTGTGTCCTAATTTTTATGATTTCTATAAAGTCCTATGTATTAAAGTATATTTTATTTATTTCCAGCGTTCCCGCAGATGTGCCTTACTGCAATAGCAAATCTGAAACAGGAAAATTCTAAGGATGGCAATAATAAAATGCTGTTTAGCAAGGATAGGGAGATAATTCCGTATATTGATCAGTACTGGGAGGCAATGACAACAATGCCACGAAGGTAAATATAAAAAAAACAACCCCCTCTCCTCCTACTGGCTCATAATCTTGTTAATTACAACTGTTTCAATGCAAAAATCACATTTATGTTATCTTTGTATTTTTTAAAACAAAAGGTGAAAGGTGCATTGTAGTAGTATTGTTTGATTTATTTGGCAACTTAACTTGAACACAATGGTAAGTGTAGTGGGGCTGGGTTTGTCTTTGGGCCGCCAAGATATTTAAAAACAACTATACAAAAGTTTTGACCCCAGTAGACTGTAAGAAAATAAGACTTTTATTAACTTGCTTTAGCTTGCAAATCGCCGCAAATGTAATATATTTTTGGTGTGGTATGTAATTATAACCTCTTTGGTGACGAAAAGTGTTTTAACCTTTAATTCAACGGAGTTTGTTGTAGCAAAATGAATGTAAAAAATTTTTTTTAGTTGTTCATCACACTGGCCACTATGGAATAATAATTTAATCACTGACCTGTATGTAAATAAAAAAACAAACAAATTTTTCAAATACATGTCAAATGTCAAAACTGGCATAAAATATTTTACGCTTTTGTAACATTTTAATTAATAAATCTATTTTTCCAGAGTGACTCAATCTTGGTACGCGACAGTACAACGAGCTCTGATCAAGGACATCCAGATCCTGTTTACTTACGAAGAAGATCCAGTACTGGGGCAAATGTTTGGCTTGTACAATACAGAGTTAACTGCGATAAAGCCTAATTATGAGGCGATGATCAAACAGGGACAGCTGAAAGTCACCGATATGGGTATTGCTACAGGTAAGTTACATTAGCATAAGTTCATTGTACTATTATAAATGCAAAAGTTTAAATGGATGGATGTTTGTTTGAATTTGTAGTCTAAACTGCTGAATGGATTTCGATGAAATTTGGCATAGTCGTAGCGAGCTTAGAGAATAGTCTGGAAGAACACATAGTACACACACTAGTCAGTTTTTTTAATTCTATGTGGAAGGTACCGCGGGCGCAAGCTAGTGATATAAATACGAAAGTTAAGATGGTTGTTTGTTAGCGTTTGTAGTCTAAACTGCTGAACAAATTTTGGCATAGATGTACAGGATAGTCTGGAAGAACACAGGCTACTCACTTTTTTAATTCCACGCGGATGGAGTAACGGGCGAAAACTAGTAAATTCATAATCACTAACTTAGCGTCGGCTTGAGTATATTAGAGTATTCGGAAAATAGTATTACAAAATAAAGATTTTTTTACAATTAGGAATGAAACTTTATTACAATAGACTTAACATTTTTTTTAATAACAACTAAAATTAATTTAATGAAAATAATCGTTACTATAAGTTTTTCATAGTTTCCATTGTCGATCACTAGGTGTCGCTTTGTGGCTTCGATGTGAATATTTTTGCATAATTTAAACAAAAAAAAAAAAACGTCGGGTATCGTTAGTCGTTAGTGACCGGGCAATGGACACGTGCCAAGAATCAGCAAGCTAGCACGCTTTGGCATGTTTTCATTATTAATTGTTTAATTTAGTACTTTGGTATAATTTTTTTACAATTTTAAAAACCTTAAAAATTTTGCATGCAGTTTTAAATGTATTAAAAATGGCCATTACAAAATATTGTATTGTTAATACAAAATCTTTCTTAAAAAGATGGTAATCTGCTATTTTTAATTTTTATCAGAAAATATTACGTTGTACAAATTTAGTGTTAAACATTCATAAAGATGGCGTTATTCATATAATAGTTTAGATGGATAGAAATTATGCAAATTTCAGCTAATAAAACGCAACACATTTCCAAATATTTAAAATTTATGTAACTTTGCAAAATATTCTATTTTTATTGATAGATATATAAATTCATGTCAACTATATTTGTAAAATAGAATATCTTTTTTATAGTGCAATGGCTGTTGACCGCGACTTCGTCTCTCAGTATTAAAAACATACGACGAACAAAGAACTGTTTATCCCTCGACAACTTCTATTTTTATCATCAATTTACATATAGATCTGTAAGTCGTTTAGGCTAAAAACTCTAACAAACTATCCTTAGATACATATATGTATGGATGTTTGTTTGGAAGTATGGACATCCATCCAAACTCACATTTATATAATCATAATTAAGTTATGTTATTATAAAAATAATTTATGTTTCTACCAACGTATATTATAATTAATTTTCCTTGTTTCAATGTTATCGTGTTTATCCAAACGAGACTTGCGAGCGTGTTCTAAAATTAAATACGATAGTGTCCATTGAATTTATTATGTTGTTTTGTACATTTTACCGTGGGTTACCACTGCCGTATCAAGTTAATATTGTTAACCTACATGTTCGCTTTCTTAGGGCACCCTGAATGCTGTTTATGAGACCATTAAGGTTATAAATCCACGGTTAATAATGTTTTGATGTTTGAAGTTTACATAATTGTAAGTTGTTTCCTATAGGAATGTTACTGCGACTGATAGCCGTAGGGTGAGGAGGCGGGCATTAGGGGAAAAAGCCCTATTTTAAAATTAACAGATACTCTGATGGAATACATATAACGTGGAGTTTTAGCCTGCGTTTGACCCGTGTTTCGAGAGCAAATGTTTTTTTCTGTCCTATCTGTAAAAATTGGTGCTCTACCTCAATTTTTTTTGGTACACTACGGCAGTTTGTCAGATTTTTTTTATACAAAAAGGTGGCAAATGAGCAAGCGGCAACCTAAAACCGCCAAAATGGCGAAGCGACCGCCGCCCATAGACAACCGCAATTGCAGATGCGTTGCCTACCGTAAATTGACGGAGGAAGAGACGCACATAAAGAGGATATTTCCCCTTCCTATGCGTCTCCTTCACCGTCAAATCCACTTTCCCATCCAATCCTTTCCTTATAAGAAAAAGGTGGGACGGGATAGGGACTAAAATTGGGCCTCCGGCATCACACTCATCAGACGAAACGCGGAATTGCGTCCACTTGACGGCTGTCTTCTGTGTGGTCGTGGTATTACACCGGGCGAGCCAACCCATTCGTGCGAAGATCTTAAAGCGGGCTCTACCACTGTTAAATGTTTGTTGTTAAATTTTTTCGCCCGCGACTCCATCCGCGTGGGTTAAAAAAAACAAAAGTAAGTAGCCTATGTGTTCTTCCATACTCTCTACATCTATGCCAAATTTCATCCAGATCTGTTCAGCCGTTTAGGCTACAAACTCTAACAAACATCCATCCATCCATCCATCTAAAGTTTCGCATTTATTTAGATTACAACTGGTTTGTTAAACCAGTTGTAGTTTATGATAGAGCAACGATGAGTGGCGTTTTGCGATCTGGGTTAATGCTCTGACCCAATTGTTGACTTCGCCGCATAAGGCCGTATCTAGGTTATAAGAAATCTAGCGCTGTGTACAAAGGTTAGTTAAGGATACGTTTAGTGTAGATTATTAGTAAATCTATAATTAACGATTTTAGTTGCCGAGTTGTACTAACTGTTCGTTATAATTATAAAAATAATTGTAGGATATAGAATTCATTGTTTTTTTTTCATCCAAGAAAGTGCACAATATTGCGTGAATGTTCTGTAAATGTGAACCGAATTGTCAACCTAAACGAAATTTGTAGTACCTATGTTTATTATCCAAGGGCTTAGTTATTTTAGTTTAATTTTATTTAGCCCGTATACGTCTCCCTAAAGCAGTTACTAAGTTAAGCCAGTTACTATAACGATTGGGATCACAGTTGAAATAAATTACAGTATCACTATTGTTATACTGCCCTATTTTAATTAGAATTCTATACAATTTAGTTACTCTGTGAGTTTAAGAATGCTAGCGAATTCGCGCACGTCTTTAAAATGACGTCTATTTTTAACATAGTAGGCAAATAGCGAGCTATTGACGCGGACAATATCGATTGCTCTGCACAATGCATGTCGTAACTCTCACGACTATAAATTAAAGGGGATAGGCACAATAATTGGTATCTAGTAGTTACTGTTATTAAAATTGATTTTATAAATCCCGACCTTAGGTGTATTTAATTAGGATTGTTTTGTAAAATGACAGTTAAGTTATTATTTATTGGATATACTTGGAGTAGTTAAGCTTGTGTAAAGTATAACGCCTATGCGATTTTTGGAAAATTGTTCAATTATGCCTTATTTTTTAAGTAATATCTCAATGAATTGTTTGTGTGTTCACGGAATGGGTGTAATGTTAGACGTTTGAGAGATGTTATATAACGTCACAGAATGCAAGGAGGTTGATGTGAGGAGTAGTGCGGCATCGCCAGTAGCGGAACGTTAGTGCCCCTCATAAAACACTAGAGCAGTCGCGTATTGAATAAATGACATTGTCCCTCGCGCCGCTGTGTTTGTAAACACTCGCCGCGACGCACACGAGCGCCTTATTCGCCCGCCACGCCGCCCGGCGACCACACAGACGCGTTGCCTCCGCGATTTCTCCATCGATTATTACCATAAACAACCTTGAACTTCATGGCTGGTGAGTTTTTTAATCCACACGACCCACTTGTGTGCATTTTAACCGGCCAGTATTAGCAAAGTGCTAATCGATCATTTAATTTTAAATTTAGAGTTCGGGAAGTCGCGTCCTTATCTTATCACGTCTCCACATATACTAGCTCTATCGTGTCGGTCAATGAATTTCGGTGAACGCTCCCATTCGACATGGACTGTAAGTTTTTTACGATTTTGATATCAATTTATATGTTTTTCTCCAACAATCTATTAATCCATTTTAGTTTTTCCAACGTTTTTATTTATTCTTAAACTTGTAACGAATCGGTGCTTTTTATTGCACATGGCTCATCTAATTGCGTCACATTTTTTGGTTAATAAAAATATAAAAGCGATTCAAAGATCATATCAAAACTAACTTCGAGGAGTATTTGTAAAAAAAGTATATCAAGACAAATAAAAAAGATTCGATAGTCAATCAAAGGAATTTGTAGACATATTCGAAAAATTCATGTTTCAAAAGTGTGATATGAAATGATTACATAGGTATCAACCAGTTTTGTTAAGGTTATGTCTAAAAGTACTAAATGCGTACATAGACATTTGCCTAGTGTTCATAGCTTCTGCCTATACTGAGATGAAGGTTTTTTATCTATGATGTAACTGTTAATATAGATTGAGATAGAAATATTATCAGAAATATGTTTGTACAAGTCAAGAGTCGATTACATAATCCTAGTATTGATTTTTTATAACGGTCTATTATTAGTACTGTCGGGAGCGTGTTTGAGCATGTGAGGACCGTATTTTCCCTATTGTGATGATTTCAATCTTTGACTTTTAATGACAGGATCTATCTCATCTGTCCAATAAAAAGCAATGTTCTCTACATTAGACCACGTATTCGTATGTTTGATTGTTATGGTTATTCCTCACGAAAAGTGTAATTTTAAGTATAGGCGTGTCTACCCAGTCCGTGTCTATATGGTGAAAGATTCAAAACAAACTGAGCGAAGCATGCATTGCTGTGACTCATTAATTATCTCTTGTTTATTACTGAACGAATGCGAAATTAACCGATAATATATAATTAAATGCCTTGTTTGATTCCAATGATCATGTCCACATTGTATGTATGATTTTTATAAAAAAGAATTAGAGCCTGTCCCACCAAATTGTAAACTAATGATAGCAATTGAACGTTTAAAATATGTGATGGAAATATCTTATTTTGTTCCCTTATCTGAGAGTGACGTCATTTTTATGCTATCCGAGCTATCAGCCAGTGGTGGAACAGGCCCTTAATGTTTTAATTTTAACTATTGCACTAAACAGTGTACACTCGGCAGCAGTATTAGCTGCTCTAAACTTAAATGGTGAGACCTATTGGCAATTGGATAGCCTTAGTGATGATTATGTGAAAAATGTTTCAAGTGTCAACTCAGGCAGAGTTTACCTTTATATATTTGAATCTTTGCTATAATATGAATTGGACTGGTGAGTGGTGTAATAAACTCTGAAAACAATTTTCATTCGTGCATACCACGTCGGAAATAAAGCCATTGTTATTATAAATATACCACTCGGTTCGTTCATAATATTTTTTGTTCAGAAAATGTTTATAAATTGAAGATATGCAATAACGGACGTTACTGTGAATGTTGTAATTCTGCTTCTAAAATCAAAATACTAGCTCGACTCGCGACTTTGTCCACGTGGACTAAAAATAGTAAAAACTATACCTATGTTACTCAGAGATAACGTAGCTTTTTAATGGTGCAAGAATTGAAATCGGCCCAGTAGTTTTTGAGTTACTTCAATGCATACAAAAATACAAATATTTCTTCTTTATAATATTAGTATAGATTTTATCATATAATAATGTGACAAAAACATGATTGTGGTTAATTATCGACAATAAGTACTTTGTAAAAATATTGACATATTTCTTAGAAACCATTAAATTAATGGGCCCCGTATTAAATTCGTCTTGTTTACGACTTTGTACGTACGGAATTTCTATATCCTTTCAGACTACTATACAAATCTGTGACGAATTTGGTTGAAATTTAATAAGGGTTTCTGGAGATACTTCCTAACAAACATTCATCTATCCATCTAAGCATTCGAATTTAGTTTAATACGAGCTGTCGCCCACAAACTTCGTTAGCGCTCATTTGGACCACCCGTTACGCCTTTTTATAGCCCGGATTAAAAAAAAATAAGTAGCCTATGATAAGCCCGTCTATGTGAGCTACCCTTCAGTGAAAGTCCGGTCGAAATCGGCCCAACCGTTTCCAATATTACCCGGAACAAACGTGGCTTGCGGACAGACAGAAAGACAGATAAAAAAAATTAAATGCGATTTTCGTTAACAGCAACGAAATCTGGAATTTTTCTTTTGATGTTACAGACACTCCAATTTTATTGTATAGATTTGCATTGTCGTATTAGCAACAGTAAATTAAAACTGTTATTGAAATTTTATCAATTTCCAATTATAAATTCCATCTGCCTAATCGGAATAATTTGCGTTAAAGATTCCCTTGTTCCCTTTCAGTACCACTTGCCGGTAACGTGAAGGGTCGCCAAGGGAAGCGGCGGCCCGCTGTGGGGGGCTTGGAGACGGGCGCCCCTGTTGGGAAGAAGGGCCGCGCGAGTGACCTCAGCGCCCTTAAACTGCCCAGCCACGGCTACCCTACAGAACATCCCTTTAATAAGGATGGCTACCGGTACATCCTTGCTGAACCCGACCCGCAAGCGCCGTTTAGACAGGTGTGTATTCGTACTTTTCTGTGGTGGTTCATACTTGTACGATTAATGATGAATCGACATTGTGTGACCAGGCTAGTGCGTGATAGCTATCACGCCCCTATAGTGAGCTAGTGATAGTTACACCTAACTTAGTGGGAGCCCGTCAGTGGGGACGTATAGTGAGCCGGTGATGATGATCACCGAGGGGCTCGGAGCCTACGCCGGCCAAGTGCGGGTCGGTTGACTTAACACATATCTTTGAATTACTTCGCCGATATGTGCAGGTTGCATCACGATGTTTTCCTTCACCGTTAGAACGTCGAGTAAATTATGTACATATGAAAATTCGAAAAATTAAAAAACATTGGCACATGGCGGGATTCAAACCATGACCTGCAGATTACAAGTCAAGCGGTTAAACCACTGAACCACGATAGTTGGTGATACCCCTAATTTAGGGTAGGCCTCTCAATGGTGGGGAAATATAGTGAGCTGGTGATAGTTACCTCCAATTTAGGGTAGTCTCCGAGCCCCTAAGTGATGATGTACAGTGATGGTGATGTGTGTGGGGTCAGGAGTTCGACGAGAACAACGAGTGGAGCGGCAAGCCGATCCCGGGGTGGCTGTACCGCGCGCTGTGCCCGGGCGCCGTGCTGCTGGCGCTGCACGACCGCGCGCCGCAGCTGCGCCTGGCCGAGGACCGCCTCGCGGTCACCGGCGACAAGGGATACTGCATGGTGCGAGCCACGCATGGTATGTTATTTTGTACTATAACGTGACACTAGTCATTGGAATTCGCGAAAATAGCGAAACTATCGCTGCCATTATCCGCATTTGTAAATTTAATCAAATTCGCTGTCTTAATCAACAAAAGAGGATATTCTCTTTACGACTTATGTGTCCCCTTTCCTATCTTTTCCTTGTCCGAAATATGTATGTTTCTGACTGACGAGAACTGTTGGTGGAGTTTCAAGCTGATCCTGGACTGAATTTATAGTGGTAGTGATTTTGAAACCTATTTTAAGGTAATTGTTATTACCAGAAAAATATCAGTAGTGCAGAAAAAATATGATAAATATGTAGTCAATTAAAATTTAAAACAATCTGTTATGGACACAGTACACATGAACGAAAATGTGTAGACTGGAGCGGGACGAAGTATGTTTCGTCACACTTATGGTATTGACCAAATATTAGTTAGTATTCTTGTATGTTTTTTTTTTTTTAATATGGTCAGTATAAGCGACTATTGAGGCTACACGCGCCCTGTATAGTGTATTTATGTTTACACTAGCTGTTCCCGTGCGGCTTCATACGCATGAAATCATCAAAATTTTGTTTTATTGTATACGTTTGTGAAATTTGATTTCACATGACAAACCTTAGCAATCTTGCTTTCTTGATGTTGGCAGCAACTTATGGTCTCTTTCCCACATTAGGGTTTTTATCCAAAATATTTACCCTAAGTTTAACGGCGTTAAAATATATAGCGTAAAGCGTGACGCAAGTGTAGGGCTTTTTATTAAAAAAATAATTATTGAAAAACATACTGTAATTGCTGACATCTTAGGCAACAAAGAAGTGTGTGTTTACACTTTATTATAATAGTGTAGATTATTAAGATTGTGGTAAGTACGAGCTATAGTGCGGCTGCCCGTGGCAGGCGTGTCGCGCGGCGCGTGGTACTGGGAGGCGGTGGTGGAGGAGCTGCCGGAGGGCGCGGCGGCGCGGCTGGGCTGGGGGCGGCGCTACGCCAACCTGCAGGCGCCGCTCGGCTACGACAAGTTCGGCTACTCGTGGCGCAGCCGCAAGGGCACCAGGTATACATCCTACACTATGTCACAAATACATTTAAACATATTTCAATACACACAAAAATCCAATTTTTTCCTTTTTATAATATCAGTATAGATGTATATTATGAACTAGCTTTCGATCGAGACTCTGTCCGCGTGAAATTATAAAAAAAAACAAAAGTGAATAGCCTATGTGTTCTTCCAGACTATCCTCTACATCTATACCAAATTTCATCCGTATACGGTCAGCAGTTTCAGCCACAAAGTCTAACTAACATTCATCCATGTAAACTTTCGCATTTATAATATTAGTAAGATAGGAAAATTACTGTGCCTATTTTAAAAATTGTGTCATTGTTAGAAATTGCCTTTAAGTAACATAGGCTATTTTTATTATTTTGTTATTTTGAGACGGACGAAGTCGCGAGCAACAGCCAGTGTTTTACATTCTTAACATGTGCAGGTTCCACGAGTCGCGCGGCAAGCACTACAGCGCGGGGTACGGGGAGGGCGACACGCTGGGCTTCCTCGTGCTGCTGCCGCCCTGCGCCGCCGTCACACACACGCCCAACACATACAAGGACAGGGTCTGTTACATACCACTCTTACATTACAAATATCATATTAACATTATAGCAAAGAGATTCAAATACATAGAGCAGATATTTCACTTAAAACAGTTTTATAATCATCACTAACGCCATCTAGTTAGATGCTACATTTCAATATAAATAAATAGCTGTTCCTCGTGGTATTAGAAAACAAACTATGTAAATAACAAAAAACTAAGTGTCCCTTGAGAACCGGTCATATTTCGGGGATGAACCTTATCCCATGTGTACTCCAGACTTTGTTTTATATATATGCCAAATTTCACTAAGATATGTTGAATCGTTGCAGAATTATCGAGTAAACATTAAAAAACAAATTAATGCATCCCACGGGTAGCGAACTATTTCCGGGATAAAAAGTAGCCTATGTGTTCTTCCAGACATCTGTGCCGAATTTCATGGAGATCCGTTCAGCAGTTTAGGCTACAAACTCTAACAAACATCCATCCAAACTTTTATAATAATGGTATGATTGTAGTACCTTTCAGAGTACATGTGAAAAAATTGTGTTACCTGCCTCGTTTATAAATGTCTGTAGCAAAACATTTGATTTCCACAGCCGTTAGTGAAATTCAAGAGTCACTTGTACTACGAAGACAAAGATAACATACAGGAGTCGTTAAACAACTTGAAACCGTTGTCGGGTAGTCGCATATTATTCTTCAAGAACGGCGAGTGTCAAGGCGAGGCGTTCACCGACATCTACCAAGGCTGCTACTACCCTACAGTCTCCTTGCACAAAAACATCACTGTCAGCGTCAACTTTGGACCAAACTTCAAGTTTCCACCCGCCACTGATTGCAATTATAGACCGGTGAGGGCATTTTGTTATTTCTTCTATAGTTTATTGATCATTTAGCTTACTTAACTTTAATAGGATAGCTTATTTACATAAAAATTGAAGATTGCTGTTGTGAGCATTAGTCAAATTGGTAAAATTTCACATTTTAAATTGACATTTCAGTATGCGTTTTATTTAATTCGTAAAGAATCTCATACGAGATATATTAATATTTTAGCGTATTTACCAGTTTTATTTGTGTTTTTCCAGATGTCTGAAAAAGCAGAGGAAGCGATATGCGAGCAAACAATGGCTGATTTACTGTATTTGACTGAGAACGAGGGCAAACTGCGCCTCGACAACTTCAACCTTTGATACTAAGCACACCGCGCGACGGTGTGACTGCGGCTGTATGCTGTGTTGGGACTGGACCCTGCCAATGAATCACTGATATGTTGAACTGTGACCAGTTACAATGAATCACTGTTATGTTGAACTGTGATCAGTCACAATGAATCACTGATATGTTGATCTGTGACCAATCTCTGTAAATCATTGATATATTGCACTGTGACCAGTCATAATCAATTATTAATATTAAACTGTGCCTAATTATGATGAATCACTGATATGCTGAAATGTGACCAATGGCAATTAATCAATGATGTATTGACAACAATTATCATCAACCTAATTTTACAATAACAATAAGCCATGTTAACAAATCGGTGAACAGTTGATGTATTAATCAGTGATTTGTTGAATTAGGATCCATGGCATCAGTGGTGTGTTGAACTATGACTGGTCACTGTGAATCAGTGATCTGTTGAACTGTGACCGGTGGCAATGGATCAGTGATGTGTTATGAGATCAGAGGATAAAAAAATATTATAAATCGGTAAATTGCATATAAAGGTAGCTTTGCTATAAATTGTTGGATTCCTAAATGTGGCAAACATAATATAAATTCAAAATTGTTTTCTTTTCGGGTCCATATATTGCCTAAATAAGCTTGGCTATTATTGCTGATGCAAAAAATTACAATGCAATGTTTGTAAGATTATGAATATAAAATGCAATTATGAAGATAATCTAGGTCTGGTTATCTTAAATATTTAATTTATAAGAAAAAATGAAAAATACATCAATTTTAAAATGTATGTGGAGATAACTAAATGGGATAATTTTAAACGGGAATAAATGTAAAACCCGCTCCATAATGTACAGTTAAAACTGTATGGTTAAAAATTTACTTGCAGTCAGATTTAACTGATTTATATAATGTTCGTAAGATACGGGTTTCTTACCACGATTGAATTGTTTTAGCTCCCGATATTTCGGCACAGTTGCATGCGCCATGTTCACGGGCTGACTGAAGTGATGCGGTAGTGTGAAAAAAAAAAGGTTTCACGAAGCCATATCGGTCTACTTTTCTCCTGATACGGCGACCACTACTATTATTGTCCTTGTATTCACTAAAGTCCACACTAGCTGTTTTCTGTCGACAAACTACACTCACGGTGTCCACATTTGTGCGCTTACTTGAACTTGGCCGCTTTCCAGTTTTGTTGTAATACTGGATTACTGGATTCCAGGCACTTGACAATTTAAACCCATCTTCGCGATTGAAATTTTGGTACTTTGTAATTTCAATTGCTTCTCTAACTAATCTCGGTGTGTAGTGGCGTTCTGTCGAAAGTACCTGGGGACTATGAAGTTCGATCCAGTGATTGGTGGAGGGATCCAGAATCCAGTATCTTACGAACATTATATTTGTAGAAACCACGACAGTTTAAAGTTATATATTAACCGATTTAGTTAAAAATAAATACTTTATTTTTTACTGAATAAAAAGTGTTGTAAGATTGGCTCATCATTTAGGTGTTTGAATCTCAAGAAAAACATTTGAAAAATTCACACAAGAAGGCGTTTTCCATTAAATATATAAGATACTAATTTGTATTATAAAATTGTATTACCTCTAAGACATTCTATTGAATACTGCAAAATCGTGTATGGAATGTAGTGGAAATAAATTTTAAGAATTATTGATTTTTTTATTTAAATATCTGAACTGAGCCCACATCCAGAGTAGGATTCTTAACTTATCTGGTAAAGATTATAATTTGATAAAAAAACTCTTCTTTGTTTGATGCTTTAGATGACGTTTTACATTTTTTTTTATCATACTCTTTCCAGGTTAATGTTATCCCTAAAAAAGATCCCTTTGTCGTCAATCTCCGGTTTGAGAACACTCCCCTGGTTGCCACGGCCAGTATCGGTATTCTCGGCGTTGACATATCGAGTGACGTTCAGTTTCGCGGTCATTTGGAAGACAAGGCCAAGCTGGCCTCTAAAAAGCTGGGTGTGCTCAATGGGGCGAAGCAGTACTTCCAGTCGGGCCACCGCCTTCAACTTTACAAGGCGCAAGTTCGGCCCCATATGGAGTACTGCTCGCACCTCTGGGCGGGAGCACCCCAATGCCAGCTTCTTCCATTTGACCGCATACAACGGAGAGCGACTCGAATCGTCAACGACCGAGCTCTTACCGATCGGCTTGATCCTCTGGCCTTGCGGAGGGACGTCAGTTCCCTCTGCATTTTTTACCGTATTTACCACGGGGAGTGTTCCGAGGAGTTGTTTGGAACGATTCCTACCGCCGAGTTTCGTCATCGGACAACACGACAGACCGCCAGGTACCATCCTCACCATGTTGATGGCTGGCATTCTACAACCGTGTGGTTTTCGCGGAACTTTCTGCCCCGCACAGCCGCGTTGTGGAACGGTCTGTCCTCGGCGGTATTTCCAAACCAATACGACTTAGGGTCCTTCAAGAAGCGAGCCTACAATTTCCTCAAAGGCCGGCAACGCATCTGTAGTTCCTCTGGTGTTGCGGATGTCCATGGGCGTCGTTGACCACCTTTGTGCTCCCGCCGCTCGTTTGCCCCCTTCTCTTATAAAAAAAAAAAATCTCTGCCATTCTCTTGTCATCTCTCATACCATACATCCATCTCTTTCTAGGCCTAATTATACCGGTGTCCACACAGCTTCTTACACCTTGTTCTAGAATTAATTCAAATAAATAAATGCAAAATTAATTAGATTAAATTCTTTATTTACATTTAAACTATATAGGACAGACAAAAGTGTTTTCAACATAATATTTCTTCTATTATGAATTTCAACAAAAAGAACAAAAATATTTTTAAGGATTCCCACTAATCTGTAAACTATTTATAAAACTAAGGTTGAAGAAAATAGAGTAAAGAACATAAACATGTATAGTTCTTTTCAAATATCTCGGTGGCTCAAGGTTATTGACATGTTGCATAGTCCCCTCATCTGGTTATACCTTAAATTGTGTTCTGCAGCAACTTTCATAAAATTAACAGCCACCAAGATATATGAAGGTTAGCATATTTATGAATTTAGTTTTTTTGCATGATAATTTTAGGTAATATTCTATAACAAACAATAAACTTTAGTGTCTATTTCCCGAAGCCACCTCTACAGCTGGGGCTACTCTCAACAATCTTTTCACTCTCATCCCATTGTTTTGTTGTTTTTGCTACAATTGACAATGCATGAACACCATTCTTTAATTCTTCTTTTAATATATCATTCACTAAACGATGCCTCTGAAAAAACAGTTTAATTTAGTCTTAATATAAATAAAAAAAAAGTTCATTGGAGAATTATTACCATATTCATTTTAGAGAAGTTTACTGCTATGGGTTATTTCATATCAATATATCAAAAATGTTCCTTTCTGCCTAAATAATACCTACAAAATACTTCCCAAAGCTAGTTTCAACTAACAATATATTAAAACAACAATTAAATGTTGCTTTAAAATGAAATTGATTCCATAAGCACAAAATTAAGTCATACTCTTCTTCACTTACCTTGATTAGAGCAAGTCCATCAAATTTATCAGACACCACAACAACTTTGAAATGGGTTTCTGCACCTTTTGGTACATTATGCATATAAGATTCATTTATCACCTCCAAATGGGTAGCTTCTAGCGCAGTCTGCAGTTTATTCTGAATAGAATTAGCGACCACACCAGTTTCTGTCCCCATGTTGACTAAAATATTTCCTGTAATATTACACTCTATATTTGGTTCAATTTTATTAAATCTAATCTTAATACAACACATAGTACATGCGACACAACTTGACACGGAAAGGGATTTGAGGTATAAAGGTAAATCGAGTAACGTGTAAGGTTTCAGCACGAATTAACGGCATTATAGACAGCTGTATTGGAGCATGGATTTACACCGATGTACATGTATGGCGTTTAAGTAAAGTTTACAATAAAATGTAAATATGGATTAAGATTTTAAAAATAAGTGTTTATATTACCTAAGCGTAAGGTAGGAGTTCTAAGCCGCTGAAGAGTATTCATAGGTTGTATCGATTTTTTTTTCTATTTTACGGTAGGGTTATTTTAAAATCGTTCGTTATAAATACTTGTAACCAAAAAAGCTCGTTTTCTTCTTGTTTTTTTAATGAATAGTGGGCACCATCGTTATTTTGATGATTTCGCTAACTTCTCGTTTTGTTTTCGTTTTTGTAGTTTAGTCTAATAAGCTGTCACTGTCAGTGTCATTACCAGCTGATTTAAGGAATCGTTCAAAGAGTACTTACTGTCAAAATGTCTACTAGAAACAACTAGAAATCTAGTAGAAATAAAAATCGATCGTTTTACTCGGATTTACAAGTATTTTAATTTAAGTAAAAGTGTTAATGGACATCGATGAAGGTGATGAATATTTATTTTAAATTATTAGGCTGTACCAGTTTGTTGCTAGTTAATGACCTGCTCTGGCGATCTCCCATTCTTTCTGTAGTACTATTAGGAATTAATGCTCAATAAAGATGTTTCTTATACATTTTTGTGTAAAATTTTTGTTTTACTCGGTTTATTTGGTGTTATAATATTCAATAACATACGTGAACAAGTAACTAGACTGGCTGTGATTACTTCATATTCCGTATTTCTTCAACTTGTAACATATGTTAGAAATCCATTTTCCCCAAATTAAAAATAATATTCCCAAAATCTTTTAAATATTGTTATTGAAAGATGAAGGTTGTTGTTCCCTACTTTAATAAATTTGAGTAGAGTTTTGACAAAACCTTTGTCTTCATTAGTACGATTATTATACCGATGATACGTTCAATAACTAAATTGTATTTTATCTATCTTTTGCCTGCGACCCATACCGCGCGGAATTAGAAAAAAACACTTGTTAAGTAGCCTATTAATTTTTATATAACTAAGATAAGAAAGTAAAGATAAGTTTTGTACCAAATGTCGAAAATTAATAGACGGAAAACTGTAATACTGGTTGTTTGAGTTTATCCTATAATCATTTTAACTGTTCTACTTTCATAGAGTGCGCTATTATCTGAACGGTTATATCCTTGTGCAATTTTAATTACAATATGTTATTAATATGCGACCGTTATGCAGATATTGTTACGTTTATTGTTATAACATATGTGGCTTTTAAAAATAAATATTACTAAATTCAAACTTTTTCGCACTTATATTGTCACTTGTAAAATAATAACACAATTAACTAATCTAGAGGAGTAGGCAGAGACCATAAAACTACGAAGATGTAGATTAGAGCCGGTGATCTAGGCTGTCACCAGCTGATATCGATTATGGTTACAGTGTCGAAATTATTTTTAACAGTTATTGTTTCTTATAAAAGTTGTTTATGTCATACTGGGCATATAAAGGTCGTCACATAATGGGAATAGTTTCATGATTTCATCCAATATCTTCAATGACAATTTCATTTCAACCGCCAATAGAAGTGAGATGGAACAAATCGTTTCCGCAGTCGTTACGCAGGAGAACTTTTTTGTGGCGTTTTTTATCGAATCTCATCAATACATTATTGGATATTTTCACATGTTTCTTTTTTGGTAAAATCACTTTTACAAGATGATTAGAGATTTTATTCCCTTTATTCTTTCCACTCTATTCTTATAAGGAAATGGAAAGGAAAGTTGAGTTGACAGAGGAGGGGACACTTAGTTAGGGGAAATATCATCTTAATGTGCGTCCCTCTCTGCGTTTGCAAATGTCTATGAGCAGCGGTTGCTTTGCTATTTCAGCAAATTCAGGTAGCCGCTTTTTCGATTGCCACCTTGACATTAGAAAAAAATTTAAATTAAAGTCAGAATAATTAGGTTTTATTTTTCAATTTATTATTGACATTCGTAATAGTTTTGTTGCAACTTTTCAGTGCCACGTTTCCCGCTGTCGACATTAAAAATGAAACGAACAAACGTAACACGTTCGTTCACTAAATTGGATCCGCTTCGCTTTCTTTGTCTCTGTACAGTCAGTGTCAGATAAATTGGGACAAGGTGTAAATTTTATTTTTTACTTTTTTGTTAAATCAGTAACAGAGTCGTCATGGTCATCTTTTTAAATGAATAAATACAGATTAATATCACAATTTTATGTAAATTAAAATGATTATGATAATCTCGTATTTATGTTCCTTCGCCAAACATTAGAATATTTTTACTGTTTGTTCTACACAACAAAGTCGCGTCGTGCTTTATATGAAAGTAGTCCCTTCTAATTAGCATATGACATCAAAAGATAAAAATACATTGTTAAAAACATCACAATTTAGACTGAATTGTCATAGAAATAACAGTCATTTTCAAAGTATAAATTTTTACATTGCCTTGATTTACACATTTTTTTAAATCTTGGTATATTTAACTTTATACCTTTGGTTTTGGATTGGTCAGATGGCGAAATAAAAAACAAAATCAACACTTCCTATTATTTTTCCGGCATTTCTAACTCGAAACTCTCGACTTTTACTTCAATTCAATAAAAATAGAATAAAAAAAAAACACAAACCATAGATCGTTTCCCCGATCGTAACACTAAAATAACTTTGGCCGTTTCTCTTATTTTTGCGGGTTTGATAGATCGTCGGATGCGAGGAGTGACTTCGTTTTTTCACTTTTATCTCGCATTCGAGCTCAGTGTCGAGATACGGCACCGGAATGATTCTAATACTTTTTTATCCCCCTGTATATTTATTTGATTTTTTATCTACACCAATATTGTGACGTTTAAAAATTTGCAATAAACATTATATCTGTACTATAAAATACACTATTATAGTTTGTAGGTCAAATAAAATCTAAACTTTTAACACAATTAGGGCCTGTCCCACAAAAATGTAAACAAAAAAATGTCTGATAACAATCCAGCATTTGAAATATGTGATGGAAAAATTTTGTTACCGTACTAACAGTGACGTCCTTTTTAAGTTATCTGAACCTCTATCAGCCAGTGGTGGGATAGGCCCTTAAAGTCTCTTTACAATTTAGAGTTACTACTAAAAGGAGTTATTAAATTCCATCTTACTAAGCTCAGTACTGACTTATATGTTTATGAAGACCGTAGTTGTATTCCAGAGGGAACCCTAACACTATTATAGTATCTCGTTAGACTGTATAACAACGATAATTGGACCACGTTAGTTGTAGTTATGCTGTCGGTCCCACTATAATGCGACGAAGCGACCCCTGACGGTAATCTTGCTCACTTTGTGTCGCAATCTATCTGTAGTTCTATACTTATATTATAAAGAGGAAAGATTTGTATTTTTGTATGTATTGAAATGAATTAAAACTACTGGACCGATTTAATTCTTTCACCATTAAAAAGCTGCGTTACTGTGTAACATAGGCTATATTTTTAAATGTTTTTTTTTTGTTTTACGCCGATGAAGTTGCGAGCAACAGTTTTTTTTTTAAAACGATGTTTACTTCCATTAATGTTAAAAATGAAATTACTTGATACGATATCAGTATTTTTTTCTACCATTTTTTAAATATCATATCATACTAATAATGTAAATACGAAAGTTTAGATGGATGGATGGCTGTTTGTTAGAGTTTGTAGCCTAAACGGCTGAACGGGTCGTGATGAAATTTGGCATAAACGTAGGGGATAGTTTGGAAGAACACATAGGCTACTCACTTTTGTTTTTTCTATTTCCACGCGGACGGAGTCGCGGGCGGAACCTAGTGTATTATAAATGCGAAAGTTTAGATGGATGAATGGATGTTAGAGTTTGTAGCCTAAACGGTTGAACAGATCTCGATGAAATTTGATATGGATGCAGAGGATAGTCTGGAAGAACACGTAGGCTACTCACATTTGTTTTTTTAATTCCATGCGAACGGAGTCGCGGGCGAAAGCTAGTTATGCAATATTAACGCAATTACAGAAAAAAAATTATTATTTTACTCTTTTATTGGTAAAATATTTTTTAATTTTCGAAATCGTTTCTCGCATTCAGTTGTTTGTGTAATTGAGTTCATTATTCATTATTAGAAACAGCAACACGTCGTAGTTAGCCGAATGGCGTACACTGGGCAGCATAATTACAGAGGCAAACTCGCGTGCCTGCTCCAGCAGTCGTAAGTGATGGTAATGGACGGAATACACTTGATGTTTTTTCTTGAGTGACGTCTCTAAGTGTTTTTGAAATAACACGCTTCATGTTTCTTGATACATTTATTTCAAAAGTAAAGAAATATTTGTAGAAATTAACGAATTCTTACTATAAGTTGCGGTTAAATTTAAAAATTATTAAATTGTTAAACTATCGTATCGATTTTAAATTTAATCTTACTAATAATATAAATGCGAAAATTAAGACAGATGAATGTTTGCTAGAGTTTGCCGTCTGAACGACTGGAATGAGTCTCGCTAAAATATGGTATAGATGTAGAGCATAGTCTGTAAGAATAGATAGGCTACTTAATTTTTTTAATTCGACACGTAAGGAGTCGCGAACGAAAGCTAGATTACTAAAATAATGCAACTTTATAGGACCGTATTACATAGACTTATTTTTTTTATTACTAATGGATCTTGTAGAGTCAAAGATGTTGAAAAATAAATTTAATATTCGATTTCAACAACACGAGGTGCCATTGTTGCGTTAAGCATATCAGGTGGTATATTGTGGCTGCACAGTTGGTAGGTGGTGATGACAGCGTTGCCCTGGAAACGACCCGTGGGGTCCACGCGCACAACATGCATGTACTCATCCCCCAGGGTGAACTGCACTTGTGGAGGTGCCGCCCAGTCGCATACTGTGGTCACAGCTTTGTTCACCTCTGATGGATTGATGCAGAACATCTGGAAAGTAGGATAAACTAAGATTACTTCATAAAAATGCAGCTTAAACTATCGTATCGTATTCTTTAGAAGTGTCAGAATACATAAGTCGGATTTACTTAACACAAGCTTTCGCTCGCGACTCCGTCCGTATGTAATTAAAAAAAACAAAAGCAACTAGCCTATCCTATCTTCTACATGTATGTCAAATGTCATCAAGATCCGTTTAGTAGTTTAGGCTCTAACTCTAACAAACATCCATCCATCCATCTAAACTTTCGCATTTATAATATTACTAAGAAAATTTTTGAAGATGTGAGATTTATAAGAAATATTACATCTATCAAATATTATCTCAACATTAACTAAATATGTAATTAATGTATATCTACCGTCTATAGTTAACAAATATCTACCGACAACTAATTATCTATACACATAAATATTACCAAATACACATACTTGTTGATAAGCCTCTCGTTGTCCGGGTATAATGTAAACCACAGGATATGTCATCTTAAATCTGTTTGCATAGTCAGTGTCTGTAATTAAACAATATAAAGTGCATACATACAAAACGGCATGAAAATTTGTGAGAAAGTATTTGTACTAACAAAGCCTGTCCCACCACTAGCTGATATAGGCTCAGATAGCTTAAAAATAACGTCACTGTCAGGTAGAGTACCAAAATCCGATATTTCCATCACATGTTTTACACGTTGGATTGTTATCAGACAATTTACAATTTGGTGGGACAGGCCTTTAATCTTTTTTTCAATCGATTGAATTACTTACCTTTGGTAACTCGTGTACAATGTGGTGGCGAGGCTTGTTTTTTCGAATTTGTTTGTAAACCCAAAGCGAAAGTTAAAAGCAAAATAAATAAGTATACTCGAAACATGTCTTAAGAATTATAGATTACACTCAATTGCAAAAAAAGTGATACAATTTTAATTTCTATTATTGAACACTTCTAACGCTGGTCGTTAGTTGACTGGTATTTTGTAACTATCAGTTTATTAGACCACTCGAAGTTATAGGTTGTTTAAACAACAACATTTGCGTTGACCACTCATAGCCACTTTATCAATGCGGTGAACAAACAGGAAAATGTACTTTGAACGAACAAATTTCTTAGTTTTCGTTAGTCATATCGCAACTAAATGGTTTTTTGAAAAACTGTTTAGTTAATTAATTACGGTTTTAGTATAATTAATGATTGATTTAAGTCTATTAGCACTTGTTGAAAATCTGAATTCGCTGAAAAAGCGGAGCGACTGCTGCCCATGCACATTATCATTAAAGTCCCGTCAAAATCGGTTTAGTTATTTCGGAGATTTGCAGATATGATTCCATCAGATATCATTTGTAACACAAAATTTACATGAAATGTTTGTAGAATGTTTGATAATTGAATAAAAGCGAACAGAGTTCCCGAGGGACTGACAATCGGCGGACCCGAAAGATTGATAAGATTTACGATGGCCCCGCAAGTTAAATGCTGGGGATATTACTTTGTTCTAAATCGTACTAACTAAATTTCTAGACGTAATTATACGCCTGAGTCAGATTAGAGCGCACATCTTTAGTTAAACTATAGCAGGACTGTTGTGCGATAGTCGATTGTTTCGTAGCCCCTTCAACTGTTTATTTCATCATCACCAGCTCACTATACGTCCCCACCGAAGGGCTCGGCCTACCCTAATACGGGGTGACTAGGCCATAGTCAGACACGCTAGCCCACTGCGAGTTGGTTGACTTCACACATATCTTTGAATTTCTTCGCCGATATGTGCAGGTTGCATCACGATTTTTTCCTTCACCGTAAGAAAGTCGGGTAAATTATGTACATATGAAAATTCGTAAAATCGATTATCACATTGGTACAGCGGGATTCGAACCCAAGACCTGTAGATTACAAGTCAAGCAGTTTTAACAGTGGTAGTGCCCGCTTTAACATCTTAGCACGAATGGGCCGGCACGCCCGGTGTAATACCACGACCACAGAGAAGATAGGCGTGAAATGGAAGCAATTCCGTGTTTCGTCTGATGAGTGTGGTGCCGGAGGCCTAATTTAAGACCCTTTCTCTTTACCACCCTTTTCTTATAAGGAGAGGTTGGGAAGAGGAAGTGAATTTGACGGTTGAGGAGATGCATAGGAAGAGGAAATATCCTCTTTATCTGCGTCTCCTCCTCCGTCGTATAAGGGTAGGCAACGCATCTGCAATTGCGGATGTCTATGGGCAGTGGTCGCTTTGCCATTTTGGCGGTTTCAGGTGGCCGCTTGCTCGTTTGCCACCTTATGTTATAAAAAAAAGCGTTCAAACCACTGAGCCACCGACGCTCTTCGTTCTGAACTGTTTATTTGCACAACTATAAATCGAGTAGTGTGCAAAATCAAAGCGAGTCTAAACAGTTGTGCGATAGTTTGGTTTCTGGTGTGTGCACGCTGTTACCTGTACACTATCGAAACACAAAAATACATTTATTGTGAATACATCAAGAGGTGGATGTTTCGATTTATGTTTCTTTATTGTGAGCCCAGCTTTCATCATCATCACCATAATCATCAGGCTTTATCTGCCTACTGTTCGATATAGGCCTATCCAATACCTTCCACAGCCTAGCCTTGCTTGCCGTAAATGTTTTTGAGATGGCTAGCTAGCGACATCTTCGGAATATTAAAGATAAAAAAAAATAAAAATAAAAAGTTTGCATCTTTTTATTTTTATTTTTATCCTATTTTTTGTAATTGTTTACTAATGTTCACCATCTGACAGTATATGGGCCGAAAATCCGTGGTTTTAAATAACTTTAGTTGAGTTAACAGGATTTGAAATTGCGAGGCGAAGTACAATTTAAAACGTACTAGGAGTAGGTTTAATTGTCGGCCCTTCAACAAAAGTCATCTCTTAATTAACATTCGGCAGTAAAGAGAGAGAAGTCGGGCGTCGCAGTTATACCGACAGTAACTGCTTGAATGTCAACATTAAATGTTAATTCATCACAATAAACATGAAAACATTGCGTTTATAGCTGATGTTAAACAACTTTATTGTTATAACTAGCTTTCGCTCGCGATTCCGTCCGCGTGGTATTAAAAAAAAAACAAAAGTAAGTAGCCTATGTGTTCTTCCAGGCCATCCTCTACAACTAATACGTCATACAACAAATTTCGTCAAAATACGATCAGCAGTTTAGACTATAAACTCTAACAAACATCCATCCATCTAAACTTTAAAAAGAATTATTACATTCGGTCCACTAGCGGCAGAGTTATGCCGTGACACACTCATAAAGAAAACATACAGACAAATTGAGTACTGTTAATTTTTCTTAGCCAAAAAATAGTTCAAACATTTACTTAAAATAATTTCTATAATCGACTTTACAATACAAACAGAATTTATCTTTATTGAGACTAACAAATATTGTTCATATTTGATACGTTACGATTACGTTACGATACAAGTGATACGATTTCTTCGAAGAATTTCTATAAAGTATGTTATTTGTGTACTCAACAGAAGCCTCAAATACAATACACAAATACGTCAACGTAATAAGGACACGTGAATAAATTATGCGAATATGTATTGAAACGAAAATCATATTTGCTGCGTATAACGAGACTGAATTATCCTCAGGGATGACACGACTTCGTAATATTGAAAAGGACATAAAAATCTTTCATATTTACTTCGTCCTTTACTTGAATATCGAATTTAGGTATGTGACTCCAACCTTAGAATTCCGTCGTCTATCACTAAGCGGCATAAACTCCGTGACACAGCAGCGAAAGCGAAACAAAAGAGAAACCAGAGAAAATATAAAAAGACGAAAATTGAATGATAACCATACATTATGCTACACTAATTTCACGTTAAGTGAGGCTAAATGTTGCGGTAAAACTCAACTAAATACAGGTTAGTTAATGTAAAATTGAAATCGCTTGAAATGTCTTTCCAAGTAGTGTGCTATAGGCTTTAATCGAACTGAACCTTTCTGTCCGTCCATCCCTTTAAAGCACGTAGTGGAATATTTTGAGGAATTATATTAGTCATGTTTTTATCTATACTAATATTATGAAGTAATAAAATAATTTAAAAACTAGTGGGCCGATTTCAAAAAATCTCTCTCCGTTAGAAAGGTCAGTAAGTAACATAGGTTGTATTAATTGTATGTTACTATTTTTATATATCACGCGATCGAAGTCGCAAGAAACAGCTAGCATTCAGATAAAAATGTCTAACCTTAATTATGGACTATGTTTACGTTTACGTTTAGGTTACGTTTTTCTAAATTATTAAACACATTAAATAGTTTATTTAAGGCTTATTTTTGTTACATTTAATTGTCTAATAAAATTTTTATAGCGGAGTTTCTCGCTCATGTGTTCATAAAGTTTGTGTAATGGAGTTGTTAGAATTTAAAGTCGGCTGCCAGTTTTATAACAGCCGGAGTTAATCAAGTGAGTGCCGGTTTGTTTTAACTGCCTTCAGTTCATTACACCGCTGTCAGCGCAACGGTTATAGTACTGATGGAAAAGAGTAACAAGGGATAGTTTTAGACAAATAGACTACTAGAATCCTAGATTTTCCCGTGATTCGTCCGCGTAAAATTAAAAGAAGTAAGTAGCCTATGTGTCCTGCAAGACCATTCTCTACATCTATTCTAAATTTTATCGTTATTCGTTCAGCAGTTTAGACTACAAACTCTAACAAGCATCAATCCCAACTTTCGCAATTATAATACTAGTGAAATTAATAAAATTCACAAGGAAACGATTATCATAGGATTTCTGTCAGTGTTTATTATTAAAAAGAAAATATTCAAAAAAAGGAAGAAATAGTTTATATGTCATTTGTCATCTTGTTTTCCTAAAAAATGGTTTTCACATTAAATTCATAACTCCTGTGTTATCGTTATTCTCATTTAAGCAGACACATTTTATTAATTAAAGATGTATTGATTTATAAAGTGTTTACAATAAATTCTAGAACATTAAAGTATATTTTAATTAACATACCTCATTCTTTGAATTTCGTGTACTTTATTATATCTTAGAAAGCTCTCGAGTACTTCATTGAATACCATTGCAATGTACAAACATTTTAGATTAAATACCAGTATTTTCCTTTGACAAATTTACTATTGGCGTATTCACATTTTGCAGGAGAAATGTACCGTTTTAACTTAGTGGAAATAAACCTTAACCAGTAGTTATTGAATGCTCAAGTCTAGGTACGTCGGAAGCACGTGGGAATGTTCTACTTTCCTTGTTTATTGCCCACTTACTCGTAAAACGTCTATTGCATGTAATGAATACCAAATACGTATGGGTATTCCATTAACGTCAGAAGTATTTGTCAGTACTTACATTATCTTAATACTAGTTCTCGCCCGCGACTACGTCCGCGCGTAATTAAAAAAAAACTGTTCTTGCAGATCCGTTTAGGCTACAAACTCTAACAAACATCCATCCATGCATCCATCTAAACTTTCATATTTATAACACGGGCTGTTGCCCGCGACTTCGTCCGCGTGGTATTAGAAAACATATAAATTACAAAACCTATGTATCCCTCGGGAACCGGACATTTCTCTGGGATGAAGCTTATCCTATGTGTACTCCAGACTTTGTTTATGTCTGTGCCATATTTCACCAAGATATGTATGTTGAACCGTTGCAGAATGATCGAGTGAACATTAAAAAACTAAATTAATGAATCCCACGAAAACCGTAACTATTCCCGGGATAAAAAGTAGTCTATGTGTTCTTCCAGACTATGCTCTAAACCTGTGCTAAATTTCATGGAGATCCGTTCTGCCGTTTAGACTACAAACGCTAACAAACATCCATCCATCTAAACTTTCGCATTTATAACATTAGTAAGATTAGTAAGATTTACTCAAGTTCATACAAGTGGATTAAATTTGAATGTTTATTTTGAGGTTTTAATTAATGTTGTCTAAACAATCAGATATCGAAAGCATAACAAATTAAGAACAACAATGTTTATTTGTTTCGAAAACTTTTGCCAAATTTTATC